TCACCATACGTTTCTTGTTGCTTCGTTGACATCTTCTGCTACACTGCATGTTTTTCCGGAAGTACTGGCAGCATGCGCTCATTCGATGCAGACTATAATGAAGGACTATTGGATACATCGGAAACTCGCCGTCATAACCCTCACCGACACAGACATCATCATAGAGTTTCTACTTTCAGAACAAAAAGAAGTGTGTTACACAATATCCTATGGAAAAAATTGAGGTAAGTACTGGCAATAAGCTTATAAGCTTGTTCGAGTCAAAAACTGTTGTTTTTTTTCCTTACTAAAATTTATGTTTATAATTTATTTGAAAAGAGATAAAATGACTAATTCAATTACTTTGTAAATAATGTAATGTAAAGTTAAGAATAAATTTTGAAGCATACTTAATCTTTGACATGCAATCTTGGCAATTTGAAAATGTTCCAGATTTTATACAAAAATCGCTTTCTACCAAAAAAGATAAAACATTTTTTTTTTCTAATATTCAAGATTAGTACCAAATATGATACATGTATACGATGTATTTTGAAGATATATGCACATGTTTTAAAATATAGATGCTAAATAATCCACGCTATGTGTGTCCTACGCTTTATTTTATCATTTCGACCTTCAAAAATGCATCATCGTATTGTTTTCTTACAAAGTATCAAATAATGCGACATAGGTTGTAATCATATAGTTATTATACAGTACTTTTTATTTAATGTATTATTATTAAAAATGTTTCAAACCCGAACAAGTTAGTACAAATATTTTCTCTCTTGTAACAAAAATCAAATCATTTTTATATCAAGAATTTCCCTTTCCGTTATACAATCAAACTTTTTTCAAAACGCCTTTATGATATGTAATTTTAGCTAAACATATTTTCTCTCTTGGATTAAACCTTATGTAATAAATAACAAGATTCATATTGAATATTCTATGAACCTGTTTGACAAAAATTAAGACCCAGCACGCATTATAACCTCTGCTACATGTATATTTAAAGCTGGACATTTTTATTTTATTTTTAACTTCCACAAAAAAATACCTCATTGAAATTTGAAACGCAAATATGTAATCGTTATAATTATGTAAATTTGAAAGAAATATTTGCCTCTTTTACAGGCAACATTTTATTTGATGTTCCCGTTTGTTTCAGCATACATACAGTTTTCTTGCATATTTGTTAACAAGCACAGAAGAAGGACTAGAAAAAAAGTTAATAGTATTTATCTTTCCTTGTGAAAATTACCAATAACACAATTACGTGATTTCCTATCAGTTGATACAACTTTAAGAAAAGAATAAACATCAACAAAAACACCAAAAGAAACTAAGTAACACAAATTCGAGTTATTAATATGCAAAACAGTTTTAGGAACATGTTGCAAAATTTTCTTTTATAATTTTAACATGTATATATATTTTTCACATTATTTTAATTGCATTTTAAAATAATTAAACAAAAAAGCATAAAAACGGTTGAATTGTAAACACACACTTTAGACACAAAAGCAACAACAAATAAATAGGTCAAAATAGTAACAAAAATTATTTAAGTATATTGAAGATATCATGAAAATCATTTGTACTTGATTCAAATCCAAGTTCATCATAAAGACAAAATATTGCTGATTTACACAAACGTGATATTTGCACGCTATTTGTTGGTGATTTTAATCACGGTCTACAATTCTTCCCTCACTTTATTATCAATCAGCCTTTATTCCCCATATGTATCACGCATTGTTTTTTTTTTTTAATATGTAGTCTGAAACCTTAAATACTTGAGAAGTTTCGAAAAAAGAAGTTATTTCTAACAGGAAATGTTTAAAAATATGATTGTTTTGAAAACGTGAACATGTGTTACAGCAGATTTTATCCTGTATATCAATAGCAAAAATAAACAGAACGACATTTCTACATATTTATACAACAATCGTTAAGAATAATACAAAGTCATAGACATAGAATTGTATTTGATTTCTTTCTTTCTTTTTAGGAAAAAAAATAGAGTAAAAATGGATGGTAGTGTCTGTCAACAATTTTCTTTCTCAATTAGTACAACTTATTATAATAGTCGAGTATTAATTATAAGGTATGCAATGTTTATTTTGAAAAGATATAATCATTTCATTGTAAGAAATACTATACGTTTGAAATAGAATCCGTCATATTTAATAACGCAGCATTTACTTTTATCGTTATCACAGTCTTTATTTAATTGTCTTGTACTAGTTTACGCTAAAAGTATAAGTTAACAAGAACTTAAGCATACTTTTGATAAGCCAGCATTACCACAAAGATTTCTTTTGTGTTGGAAAAGCGCAAAATAATTTACAAACTTCAGTGCAGTACCTATAAAAACTGAGAATCTGTACCTGATTACAAAAGTGTGGTGTCGATTACATTCAATTCAATTCAATGGGAAAATGTCAGAGTCAACATTTTGATTGGCTGACAATTGATCTACTTCAATGTCAATAGTATCAGTTAGTCTAGTATCTTATTCAAAATTTAACTCCTAAATTTGCCCCGCCTATTGATTTATACTTACATTTATATTTACCGTATGACACGCGTAGGTGGCTTGACTTAATACCACCTCAGATAACAAATTTAAAATTTGTTTTTAAAGTTATCAATGTTTGGTGACAGTGTAACTTCAAAAGATGGGCTCTGAGCGTATCAGTATTAATAGGTAGAAATAATTATGCACGTGCTGCTGAATGAAACCTTTATCTCGCAACATGTGTCTTAATTATGAATATCATTTTCTGTATTATATTTATTACTATAGTAGTAATATTGTCCAATAAAAGAAGAAATAAAAGAAATACAGCAACAATAAATAAAATGATGCAGTGTAAAGTGTTAAAATTTAGACATTTATATTCGAAACGTTTTTTTTCCTAATGAATAAATGTGAGGCAGCTATCTAGCTAGCTACCGGAACGTCGGTGATTCTACTCATGCGCCCGTTCGTGTCTGAATAATGCATGGAAGGGCACCCGAGGTCTTCCACCACTGGTAATGTCGCCATTTGACCTATACTGTGTTGGTGCGACGTAAAACCCAACCTCAAAAAAAATGAATTTTTAAGTCCAAAGGAATGTGTACTTAAATTCATATTACTTTTTTTTTGTAGGAACAACTTCATGCAGAAAAAACTTGATATGATGGCTAGTGGCTTAAATACATAATAATATACAGACATTCCAATAATTATCTCTACCTCAGAGACTCGTGTTCACGTTAGCCAATCAAGTTCGCCGAATCATGCCTGCAGAAGGATACCTCATTCAGGCACACTGCTTTTGAAAGACAGCCTCAGCAGATCATTTCAGAGCGTACAGAGCATATGTTCCAGGCGTATTTGTTTGGTCTCTTTCCAAAGCTTTATGTCTGCTTATCTCATTAGTTAACCGAATGAAGTCTAACCGATCATTGGTGAATCATCATTTCATTAAGATCGAACGACAGGTTTACACTGCATAAAATTCGCATAGATTCTAGTGGAAGAGTTTTTTTTTACCACGAACAATAAGTTGGAATCACGCAGAACTAAGTATACAGCTGGTGTTTCATATTTAGTTCCTTACAACGATTACTATATTATCTTGTGACCTTCCTTTGTGTTTGCGTGCGAAAATTACTAATTTTGATAGTGATAATGAAGAAAATGTTGACTATATCAGCATTTTCTTTTTGATAATGAAGAACTGACTGTACAAAGTAAAGGAGGACCAAAACTGCAATGGAGAAGATTTTATTTTCAACATCTCAGTTGTTTTATTTGTTTTCTGCTTATGTGTACACGATGCATGGAAAACGCATTAAAGCAGATAAGTCTTATTATGAATTTAATGCACCTTGAACTTCATGAACATTAAGTGTTGTTTTATCTGACTCTTTATATTCTATACAAAATTAGTTGTTTACTATAACAAAACAAGTTTATGGCTGTTTTTGTGTCTTTCAGGTGACATATACATGGCGTTATGCTCCACGCCAAAGATTAAAACGACTTAATTAATTGATCAATTCTTATTGTTATGTTAGCAGTGACATACGTTTATGTTATTAAGGTTTGACCATCCTAACGGACACTATAAGGAACTGAAAAATTGACAACATAGGTCAGATAGTTACCTTAAAGAACACCTGTACAAACTTTAACGTAAGGAAATTGAGTTATTGCCACTTTTTCTGAATTTAATCTTGGATGTTAGAAGGGCCCTTTTTCAGAAATACGGAACCTTAAATAATCTACTATATCATCCTTATGAAAAATGTTTTCCCATAAATTTTTGGTAAGAAACAAAATGTAACATTCATCTAACAATCCACAAAAGCAAAATGATTGTTTCACTCAAAATTTTATGAAATATTTATAAAAATGTTACCCCACCCCACCCATTTTTAAGACGTGTTTGACCAATTTCCTACTTAGAGAGCCAAATTAAAAATATCCCAAAAAATTAATTAAATGAGTGCCGGTTTTTAAAGTTTACCTATTTTTTTTAAAGTATATTGGTTGATCTTGTAGAATATTAAATAAGTTTACCTTCTAGATTTGATTTTATTGCACATTGGAAAAACATATTTGAGCCGTGACATATGACATTTCCAACATAGTGGTCAAATTTGACATTTTCACTTTTTCAAAGATTCTCAAAAAGCAATCTTTTCTGAGTCATTTGAAACAAATTTTATTATTTTTGGACCATGAAAACATGTTTAATAATACTTTTTTATCACACACCTGTTGTTGGTGACGGCCTTTAAGTTGAGGTTAGTGACGACGTCGTTTAAAAGTGCGACGTCGTTAAAAAGTACGTCAGATTGACTAAACGGAAAATTATTTTGCTTAACATAATAATCCTGGAAAAATATTTTCAAATAAGACAATGCATGCAAAATTGATTATACAAATAATTAACAACATCGTTCACATATGTGTATAATTACACAGTCTTTTTTCCAGTATACTATATTATCAATTTTTAGATTTTCAGTACATAGATTAATTTTGTTGTATTTCCAGCGGAAGAATTACTCTTCTCTTGTAGGTAAAGGGCACGTTTCATCTTGCGAATTTTGCCGCACGTATGGACGTACAGATCTGTATAAGTACATCTGTCTTTCAAATGAGAGACCGCCTGACAGTAGTACAGGTGGCTTTGTTCTGCAGTGAACGTAGTGTCCGAATATCGTAAGAGTTTGAACGATATTTCGTCACCATCGGGAGTTTTCCTCACAGTTACCTCGCCAGGTCTATTGTGCTCAATTCTGGAACCAATGGATTGAAAATATATATTGAAATACTAATTTATACTTTCACAAAACACTTATGTAAAAATATATCTCATAAGAAAGTGGCTAGCCGTACGGACCCAAACTGCTAGCCAAAAGTTAAGCAGTCGCGCACGTCTAGCCTATACGCACTGAACTGCGCTGTATCATGAACAGACATTTTCTATGTCCGCTAAAAGTGATAAAGATAAAAATTAATTACAACTGTATTACGTCTATAGACATGATTTAATAATGTTTCAGTTTATTTCCCCTGTACTTTAGCACGGACTTTATCAAAATCTGTGATTTTCAGAGGAAACTTCCGATCATCAAACGCCAAAAATAATATATTTACGTTAAATGTTAAAGTTTTCATGATACTCAAGAAAAGAAAGTTTGCATTTTTTAAATGCCGTACGGCTAGCCTCAACAGTGTGTATAGGCTAGTCGTACGTGACTAAGGTATGGCTAGAACTTTTGGCTAGCAATACGGGCCCGTACGGCTAGCCACTGCCATTTCATAAAGATAATTTCATAATGCAACGTAAATTAATTGGCAAAGAATGATAAAAGAAAATCTGTATAAAAAGTATATATATTGACACCTGAAATGTTGATATGATGAAATTCCCGGTAGGGCTTTGTAGTACTGATTAAAGTATGTCTTCCAGTCAAACCATGTCCATTCTGGGTAGCTCACTGATTCGTTAACAGTTGAAGACTTGTTTACTTGATTTACAAGATCAAGCAAGGAATCTGCATCACATCGCCTACAAAGAGTAAAAGTTCTCGAATTTAAAGCTAGTAAAGGATTAATACCGACGTAACTATACAAGGTGTCGCCCGAAATATATGGACAGTTCCATAAACAGTATGTAGCCATAGATATAGAAAACCGTATATATGATATATATAATAAACCCTGATGATAAAAAATATATTATGAAAAAGATATGGATATTTTTAACGTTATTTTAAACAATCATAGTAATGAATTATATTGACCTTCTAATAAGCTATTAGAATTAGCAAACACACCTGTATAATCTCTTAAAATTTGCAAATCCAGCGTCTACAAGACATCTACTGTGACCAGGAATCTGCATGTGTAGGTCAATTCTCTTGTGCAGTCCTGTCATTACACGCCATGAAAGATAGGCTAACACATATCTGTTTTTGTTTTGTCCTATAAAAGGAATGATTTACGGACATAATGTGTGAATTTTGGCAATAATTTTAATTAATTTATTCATTTATTTTATGAACTTTACTGGTTTCATTCATTCATTCAATTATTCATTCATTCATTCATTCACATTTTATTTATACATTTACATAGGGACTCGGAACAGAGTCGGCGCGATCGTAAACCAACAAAACAAAAAAGAATCAATTCATAAATTGCATTTAAAACATATTTTCTATTTATCAATTAGCTTATTTAGTTTGTTTCGATTATTTATTTCAATGAAGAGTTCATATTAGAAAAAGGTTGAAAAAATCGAATACCAGCGCAGTTATCAGCATGTAATGAACAATAATCTTCCTTTTTACAGAACAGAACAGAACAGAACAGAACAAACAGTTTATTCAAGACTTGTACAATAAGTACATAATCATTATACATATACATAAATAAATAGTATATATGATTTGATGTCACAATGGAAAATAGCACATTATCACAAATTCATATTTTGAGAGGATGAACTGTATTTAATTATAAGTAATAGAAGTTCTATGAGAAAGTGCGAGTTTAATATAACAAGCAAGATTTTTCAAAATAATCTTATTTTTTGAATTTAACAACTCTACAAGTTTAATTACACTTGGATTGATATAATAATAACGTTTAATATATTTTTTTCTAATATTATTATAGCATGGACATATAAGTATAAAATGATATTCATCTTCAAGGTCCTGTGTATTACAATATGTACAATAACGCTCATTTCTAGCAACTCTATTCGTACCATATCTACCTGTTTGTATACGTAAGGAATGAGAAGACATTCTTATTTTACTAATAAACAACCTTAGGTTACTAGGCAGTATATCTAGGTATGGCTCATACAAAAAAGTATCCTTAAGGTTTGTATACAATGTTAAAACACCACTGTTCTCCTTATCAACATGCCAACTTTGAATAAAAGTGTCTATCAGTCTCTGTTTAAACAAAGGTATAAATGATTTACTGTTAACAATAGTAGGATCATCCCAAACATAGTTGAAACCATATTGATATAATAAATTTTTTACCTTAGTTAACCAATTACTTTTACCGTTATTACAATCACTGAGACACAAATTATACACTTCTTTAAGAATAATGTTATCTGTTTCAAGTAGGCGAAACCAATACTTAATTATCTTAACATATCTTCCAATATACAGTGGGTAACGAGCAAGTTCACCATAAACTGCTGCATTTGAAGTTCTTATATTTACATTTAATATTCTTTTACAAAACTTTAGATGTATTCTTTCAATTTCTTTAGACTTACTGTGGCCCCAAATCTCAGCTGCATAATTTAAGATTGATCCAACAAAAGAGTCAAAAAGCTGGCATAATAACTTCGGTTTCAGTTTATATTTATTACAGTTTATCAGTAATACATTTAACGCTTTCAAAGCTTTACCAACAAGCTGTTCTTGGTTTAATGCAAAATTACCAGTATAATTGAAAACTGTACCTAAATAATTGAAATCATTTACAACCTCTAGACGTTTGTCATTATACAAAAAATTTTCAGAGGACAACAAACCACCTCTCTTCCTAAAAACCATAACTTTAGTCTTATCTACATTAACCTCTAGACTCCACTTTGTACAGTAATTATGTAATAAAACTAAACTATTGTTTATTTCCTCAGGTGAATTGCCTAGAATGGCCATATCGTCTGCAAAAAGCAACAATATTAAAATGATATCATTTAACTGTAAACCACAATTTATATCATGCTGCAAAAATAACTCAATGTCATCAATAAAAAGAGAAAATAAAACCGGCGAAATTATCTCCCCTTGACGTAAGCCTACAGCATATTCGAAAAACTCTGAATAACTATTACACACTTTAATACATGATTTAACTTTATTGTACATATCCTTAACAATACGCAATAATTTACCCCTAATACCTGATTTATGTAATTTTAACCAAAGTGCATTTCTATAAACACTGTCAAAGGCCTTTTTAAAGTCAACAAATACGCAATACAAACGTTTATTGTCGTTAATATATTTCTGAACAATAGATGATAACACAAATAAAGCATCAACAGTAGATTTGCCTTTTCTAAACCCAAACTGGGCATCTGACAGTAAACAATTTTCTTCACAATAGCTATAAATTCTTTTATTTATAATAGATGTAAATATTTTTGACATACAGCTAACTAAAGTTATGCCTCTATAGTTATTTACCTCATTCTTATCTCCCTTTTTATGCAAAGGAATTATTACTCCTTCAGTCCAATTATCCGGAAAATACCCGCTATCAAGTATTTTATTAAATATATCACATAAATGTGAAGACAATATATCAATCGACTCAATAAAATATTCATTCAATAGAAAATCGTGTCCGTAAGCCTTTCCTCGTTTCAAGGAATTGACAGCATCTATAATTTCATTAACAGATATTGGTCGATCTAAAAAGTCATCAGCATCATCACTAAAATTGAAATCATGAGTTGAGGCAAAATCCTCAGATTCAACATTAACATTTTGAAATATATCATTTCCTAGTTCAGAAAAATATTTGAAAAATGACTCTAGGGAAAGATTATTAGTAACAACATTTTTTCTTTTAAAATATTTCCAAAACTCCTTTGGTTTTGACAACCTTAAATTTTCAATTTCCTTAACTTGCTTGAGGTTATAACAATTTCGTTTTCTCCTCATTATAGCCTTATACTTAGCCTTTAACAAGCATAATTGTTCCCTATTTGTTGGAGATTTAAAACGGTTAAATTTTGACAAAGCATCTATATACAACTGCCTAGACTGTTCACATTCACGGTCAAACCATGACTTGTTATTAACAATATTTGTCTGGCTAAACGAGACAGCTTTTTTAATAGTAACATTTTGACGAAATAACGGATCCGTTACATCATGAATAATAGACGTAAAATTTAACAACATATTATTTATTGACGATCTATTTTGCAAATCGATATTACTAGTCACATTATTTAAAAGAGGTAATTTTGTTATAAGACTTGATCTAAAATGATTTTTCAAATCTGCAGACCATCTATAGTTAACAAAAGTTTCATTATCATAAATACAATTTTCAATAACAATATTACAATGTAAACTAAAAGAAATAGGACAGTGGTCACTCCATTCGTTAAAATCATGAATAATAAAATCGCTCAGGCTTGAAAAATTACCAGGTTTTGTTAATAAATAGTCAATAACAGACGACCCTAGCCTCGAGAAATACGTGCAATTACCGATCATATGATCACTGTATAAACGACCGTTAACTATTCGAATTCCCGTGCTTTTGCAAAGATCAAGTAAACGATTACCAAACGTGTTACATGTTTTATCTGTAGAGGCCCGAGCTAGGGGTTCATCTGCTACATAATCCTGTAAATCTAGTTCATCATTCAACGTGTCAAATAAAACATAATCATGTTTGATGCCAACACGACTATTCCAGTCTCCGACTAAATAAATATCACCATCATTATCAAATTCAAAAATATCATTTTCAATAATTTCAAAAAGATCTACATTATACACTGTGTACGCAGGAGAATCGTCACACCATAAATAAATACCACCAATATATACATCTGATTCAAATTTAAAGAAGGTTTTATCTAGTTTTAACCATACAATTGTGTCATAGTGAGTGCGTATAATTTGAATACCGTCTTTCAAAGATTCATGATAGTAAACTGCAACCCCACCACTTGATCTCCGTGCATTACGATGCTGAAACTTTCTATAAAAGTTAAAAGATACATATCCGTTTAATTCAATATTACTTTTTTGATTTGTCCATGTCTCATACAAAAACACTATATTATATTTATTTAAGATAGAAATAAAGTCCTTATTACATTTTTTATCATCAGTCAGTCCATTAATATTCCACGATAGCACACTCAGATCATCCCCGGCGTACCTCTAGTTGGCGCTGTCCTTGAAAGGTTTCCCGTCAATGAACAAAGTGTCGTAAGAGATCCAGGCTCTTGACCCCTTGTTCCGCGCCTCCTTCATCTTGGGTACGAGTTTTCTACGTTTGTCAGATACTTCCTTCGGGAACTGTTCATGGATAAAGTATGGTGTACTTTTAAGTGCACTACCAGCCCTTCTTACAAGCTCGCGCTCCTTAAATAAGTTGAATTTTGCTACAATCGGTCGATTTTTTCCCGGTCTTTTCTCGCCCATTCTATGAATACGTTCAAATTTCATTTCACTAACCAAATCACTAGCCAATTTCATCTTACTGACTAAGAAGTCACGCACTACAGATTCTGCATTTTCTGTTTCCCCTGGGAGGGCCTCCTCTATATTACCGAACACTATGTTGTTACGCATTTACAAACGCGTTGGAAAGCATGGTGCATCATACTAATAACATCATTTGAACCGTGTGACAGCTTTCCGTCTACGCCGATGCACTGGCTCTCATCAAAAAGATAGATTAATTGGCGTGGATCTCCATCGGTGCGGAAGCCAAATACTTGTACCTTAACAAATATTCATCTGATAATTTTTAGTGTTTTTTTTTTCTTACAAAGTTTTCAAATAAATTATCTATGTATAAAGCAAGCATGTTAATTTCTTAAAACATACCGGGTATTTTTCCCGGTCATTAAAAACCCCATAATGCCTGTTTTAGTTTTGATGAATCAATCTAAAATGCTGGTACAAAATTTGAAATAACTTCGTTATGGTATAATTTGCACATGCGTGCATTTTTTAGAATGTGTAGAACGTTTATTTTAATGAAGTCTTTGGACGAGAATCTACTTCCGTAACTTATTTTTATAAAGTGTTTTTTTTTTAGTTGCAGTATGATAATGTAATTCAAATGTTTGGTAATTTCTCACTGGCCAGCCGGTGTCCGTAAATTTATTCATGCGTGTTTGAAATCCAAACATAAATTACTGAAAAGGCGCGTTGAAAATTGGTAGATAATTGTTAAGTTATAGTCTGCATTTAACGCATTGTAAATACAAAATGAGATGGGAAACAAAGAAATGGTAGATAAATTGTAACTTTTTTCAGTGTGAAGAAGTAAAGAGGTCCCATCTGACGAGCATGATGCGGAAGCGTGACGTTCTTGGCGAAATCAAATGTATAGTGCATTGTACTAGGTATATTGCCGAGTAACGCGGCTGTGTAGGAGCACATTTGTCTCGCAGCACATTTGGCTTACGAAGTGTGACCGAAGTGTTCGTAAACATTCATATTTGCGACAAATTGAAAATGAGACAGATGTGTTCGACACACAATAGAAAGGACACTCGAAGCACATTTGTCTCACATTTTTCCATAAAATTCTTTAAAAGGTAATAATTATGCCCGTCCGTTTACCGGCTACCAACTATTGATTGTGTTTTCTGTATTTGTAATACCATTTTTAGGTCACTTCCGGTCAGTCAAAAAACTTCCTGCCTCTGCATAGGAGTCATTTATTAAATTAAAGAATATCCCTGTTCGGCATGTCACAATGAAATTTTCTACAAATGCAGCATCCAGAACCTAAACACGTATATGCAGCAAGTCTATTTTTATCGTTATTAATTGTGATACGTTTATTTTCAATGCTTAAAATTTTATAAATGATTTATGGCACTAGAAATATTCTTAGCAAAAACAAGGTAGTAACTACGGCGCCATAAGGGGACATACAATTTCCTTATTTATTACGTGCGCAAACGATAGCTTTTACGTGGCAACGCGATACTATTACGTGCACAAGCGATTGCTTATAACGTGCGCACGCGGATATGTATTCCGCATTTTGACCCTGATCGGGATCCTCGCTTGAATAGTTCGACGCCCCGTGTATATGTCGAACCTTACAGCGGTTAGGGGCAAGTAGTTTTTGGACTTCACTTGGCCACCGAGGCCATTAAAAGATCTATGGAAGAAAATAAGATGACCATTACACACGTATCTTGTTTTCATCAGAAATATATGTACTGTATGTAAAAATCGTCATTTTCCAAGAATTGCGGCTTTCAGATCCGCCATTGAAAAAGCACTTACAACATGCATGAGTTTCTAAAATAATCCGGGTATTGCCATAATTATGGAATATCGGGCCACCCAGAATCGGGCGAGACGCGACATTCCGATGAGACACGAAGCGAGGCAAATTATTGTAACACGAGATCTCGCAATGTCGAAGTATCCCGTACCACGACATTTCATAAATGAATAAATTTTTACTTCTTTAGATAGAGCAAGTATGAATTTATTAATATTCAAATAATGATTTCTGAGGAAGTTAGATGCTTTTAACCTAAGGAAATTCACGATAAGTGTGAAATAATGCACATAAAAGTAGCAAAATGTAAACAAAGTGGTATTTTGACTTCAATACAAAAATTCTAAATCACTTCAACTGTACAAACTGCAAAAAAAAAGCAACAGATGAAAAAATGCTTCAGGTAATTAGTCAATGAGTAACTTTTTGGAGCTATAAAAGTATTACCAAAAATACAAAGCTTTTGAGGAATACAAATAAAAGCATTTCTCAGACATAATATCTTTAAGTGATTTTCTGTAGACTATAAAGGGAATACTACCTAGCGGTATATGACCTGGAATCAATTTCTTGTCTCGCGTCGACGAACGGGATGCGAAACGAGTCACGATATTGTATCATTCAATATCAACCGATTACGGTGTTCCGTTGGACATAAGTAACATTTTTGTCTCCCTGAACAGCTATGCACAATGGTACAAAGGTGAAATTGAGATGGTACGATGGTGAAATCACAATGATGCGATGACACGATAGAGAAAATAATTATAGCGTTTTCATCATCATGCCATCGCAGTTTCATCATATCGTACCATCGTATTTTCACCATCGTAACATCGTCTTTCACCATAGTACCATCACGTTTTCATCATCGAACCTTCGTTGATTCACCATCGTACAATCCTTGTTTCACCATCGTACAGTCGTTGTTTCACGTTCGTAACATTATGTTTTCACCATCGCACCATCGCGTTTTCATCAACGTTCCATCGTGTCATCGCACTGTCACCATTGTACCATAGTGAACGGGATTTAGTATATTTCAGTGTACGCCTTCAGGTTAAGCCAATCAATTACTTTAAGAACCTATTGATGATTACACTTGACATGAGATAAAAAGGAAAAATCGATTCTAAAAAAGAATTAATTTCTGCCGTGGGAATAATGTGACAAATAATTCATAAAAAAATGACATGAGACAAATGTGCTTTCTTGTCCCTTAAAACACATGAGACAAAATGTGCTTTCTTGTCCTTTAAAAAACTAGATCGGAGCACATTTGTCACATAAATGAGTTTTTTGGGTAGACATTCGAGGTCCCATTTGTCTCATGTGGGACAAATGCGACTGCATCGATCTTACGTAAGACAAATGTGCTCCGAGACAAATGTGCTCCTACACGGCTGTCTTACTTTGACAAATCAATGTCAGATAAAGATTTCTTTCTTCTTGTGCTAGCTGAATATGTGTTTGCATAGATGACGTCGCGGCCATCTTCTCAGATTCTGTCACAGCATCGACAATCTTCTTGCGATATTGTTCACATTTTGAACAAACATCGTGACGTGGGGAAGCAATAACAATATGCGTCACACAAGCCTTCCATATCTTACTAAATGTTGTTCTTTTTACACATTTTCCATTCTCAGATCGTAAACTTTCAACATAAATAGAATTGTCAAGGATGAATGTAGATAGATACCACGCCCTCTCGGAGCAGCTGGCTGTGGTAAGCCATTCTCGTCAGCATACGATCGTAAAAATGTCACTATTTTCATAACATCGTCAAAATGGAGAGCATGAATAGGCTTTCGTCCAGTATTGCCATGTTTACGTGGAGATACGCCATGACCATGTACGTGTTCGCATAAAGCTCTCAGAGAAAAGTCTGTAATGTCATATAATATATCATGAAAGCCTGACGGCATATTTTCTTTCCTTCAAAACAATACAAGCTCTCCCCTCGAGCCTCTCCTGGTGTCAGCGTCTGATATTTTTACCGTGTTTAAACTAGTCATAATTAATTGTTCTTTTTCTTCCTTTAACATATCTCTAATAGATAAGATAAAATGATCATTAATATCTGAAGAACTATGCATAAAGTATTCATGACAAGAGGTGCAACTCTTAAATGGATATCAATTTTAAGATAGTAGGAGTTGTTTCCCTTGAATTAATGATATAAGTTCAATGTAAAATTGGAATTTCTCCTTTATGTCAAATAAGTTCTGTAATATTTATAAAGTAAAGTTTCCGAAAATGAATCTTTTGCTTATGTTATACTAAAATAAGTCTGGTATTAAAAATTTGTCAACTCTATTAAAATACTATTGAATATATTACCTTTATTATATTTTATAAACTTTTGTAGATTCTAAAAAGTAATCTCTTATTCCTCCTTATACGTTTATCTCATATATTGTATGTATATGCATAAATGTTTTGTATTGTGTAAAAAATTGAAAATAAAAAAAATAATAATAAAAAAAAAAAAAAAAATATCTGAAGAACTAAATTTTTCTGTGCATTTATTTTCGCAGTTACAATGTTTAAAAATAACACAACTATCCCACTCAATAAATGGATTTTCATTTTCCTTATCGTTAGAACATTGATCAAGGTATTGTGCGACCAGAATTTCTGTTATACAAATATCATGGTCAGGTAATATGGTGTCTCATTTGTATTTGATAAACCAAAATGATCATTGAACAAATTGTTGATCTCCTAAAACGAAAATAAAATAAAGAAAACCGTAAAATGATAATTCTAATCATTAAGTTGTACTTTTGATTTTAGACTATTACGGCCAAAATTGAATTTAGGCGTTCATGTTACTCTACTGTGAGTGATACAAGGGGGACAATCCGTCTAGCTTATGTTTTATCTATCGGCTGGTTACAACTACTGCATTTTTATAGACATATATTCTACCTAGCCGTGTTTACACTTGTTTATCCACTGAGTTAAACTTCTTATAAATATCTTATTTTAATGTTACCTTTATTAAACTGTAATAAATTTACAATCTCAAATTGCTGTACACAGTGACAGAGTATGACGTGAGGGGACCTTAATATATAGTAGTTGCTCTTTGATTAAAAATATTAGACAATGCATCTTCATAGCCATGCAGATATTTACTAATTGAAACATGTCATATGTACATCTTTATACTTTACAAAAAAATCGGGGAAAGGGTAATTTAAATATTTTACAATGCCCATTTGTTGTTTTTGTAAACACGTCTGCTTATAGTACTGTACAGTACAGAGTACAGACCTCATTCCGAGATCAGAAATCCGATTGTTACACATTT